GAAATAATAATAAAAATATTATGGCAGGATCATAAACCCTGAATGCTTTTTGCCCTGAATTAAGTGAGGACTCTTCCCTGAATCCTAATTTGGAAAATTAGAAAATTCTAACAATCACTGAATGTGGTTTTGTTTTTCTTAGTTATCCTGTCTTCCCTCTGTACTTGAGCTGATCACAGCACTCTGGCTGATTAGGTTGGACTCCACATCAAGAAAATTTTTAAAAAAATAAATATGCCCCACCTCTTAGAATAATGGAAATGAAAACAAAAATAAACAAGTGGGACCTAATTAGCTTAAAAGATTTTGCACAGCAGAGGAAACTATAAACAATGTGAAAAGACAACCCTCAGAATGGGAGAAAATAATAGCAAATGAACAACGGACAAAGGATTAATTTCCAAAATATACAAGCAGATCATACAACTCAATACCAGAAAAAAAAAACACAAAACCTCAAATAGTGGGAAAAAGACCTAAACAGACAGTTCTCCAAAGAAGACATACAGATAGCTAACAAACACAAGAAAAAATACTCAACATCGCTCATTCTTACAGAAACGGAAATCAAAACTACACTGAGATATCACGTCACACCAGTCAGGATGACCATCATCAAAAAAAATCCACAAATGACCAGTGCTGGAGTGGGTGCAGAGAAAAGGGAACCCTCTTGCTGGTGGGAATGTAAATTGATATAGCTACAGTGGAAGACAGTATGGAGATTTTAAAAAAAAAAACTATCAATTAAACCAGCATATGACCTAGCAATACCACTTCTAGGGATATACTGTGAGGAAACCAAAACTGAAAAAGACATATGTACCCCAATGTTCCTTGCAGCACTATTTACAATAGCTAGGACATGGAAGCAACCTAGATGTCCATCAACAGATGAATGGATAAAAAAATTGTGGTACATATATATGATGGACTACTACTTGGCCATGAAAAGGAAACACATTTGAATCAGTTCTAATGAGGTGGATGAACCCAGAGTCTATTATACAGAGTGAAGTAAGTCAGAAAGAGAAAAGCAAATATCATATATTAACACATATACATGGAATCTAGAAAGATGGTACTGATGAACCTATCTGCATGGCAGCAATGGAGACACAGACATAGAGAAGAGACTTATGGTCAAGGGTACAAGGCAGGAAGTAGAGGGTGAGATAAATGGAGAGGGCAGTTTGGACGCATACACACTACCATATATAAAACAGATAGCCAGTGGAAATTTGTTGTGTTACTCAGGGAACTCAAACTGGGGCTCTGTAACAATCTAGAGGGTTGGGAAAAGGTGGGAGGTGGAAGGGAGGTTCAAGAAAGAAGGGACATATATACACCTATGGCTAATTCATGTTGATGGGTGGCAAAAATCAAACCAATATTGTAATGCAATTTTCCTTCAATTAAAAATAACTGAAATTTTTAAAAAGGTAAAGAAAGAAAAAAGTAAATGTGCATTCTCTGAATTGTTAAATACTCATTAAAGTATTAATGTATACTTTTTTAAAGTACTAATGTAATACTCATTAAAGTATTTCATCAGTTGATCAGCCCAAACTGCTGTGTGCCTCCAATACTGGAGCTTTGATATCCTTTCTCAGTCCCAGTGAAGACTTTCATGTTCACTTTCGGTCTGGGTCTGTTGTCCAGCCTCTGTGTTCTTGGGCTAGTGCTCAGGCTTCCATTGTTTTTGTTTGCAGACTTACAAATAAATGCTTTGCCTTCTCAACAACTGCAAATCAGGGATCAGGAAAGCATTCATGCACATGAATTCATTCATTCATACTCTTTTTGAGTGCATACTAGCCATGCATGGTTCCAATACACAAAAAAAGTGGACTCTAGTGAGCAGACAGACCATAAATAAGTAGATATGTCAAGTGATCAGTGCTGTGAGAAGAATGGTAGGTAAACGGACTGGAGAGCAGGTGATGCTAGTTCAGAACAAGTGGTCAAGAAAGGATCTTTGTGACAGACTTTATTTTCTTGGGCTCCAAAATCACTGGGGATGGTGACTGCAGCCATGAAATTAAAAGACGCCTGCTCCTTGGAAGAAAAGCTATGACCAACCTAGACAGTGTGTTAAAAAGCAGAGATGTTACTTTGCCAACAAAGGTCTGTATAGTCAAATCTATGGTTTTTCTGGTATGGATGTGAGTTGGACAATAAAGAAGTCTGAGCACTGAAGAACTGATGCTTTCAAGCTGTGGTGCTGGAGAAGACTCTTGAGAGTTCCTTGGACGGCAAGGTCAAACCAGTCAATCCTAAACGAAATCAACCCTGAATATTCATTGGAAGGACTGATGCTGAAGCTGAAACTCCAATATTTGGCCACCTGATGGGAAAGCTGTCTCACTGGAAAGGACCCTGATGCTGGGAAAGATTGAAGGCAGGAGCAGAAGGGAAGAGCAGAGGATGAAATGGTTGGTTGGCGTCACCGACTCAGGGGACATGAGTTCAAGCAAACTCTGGAGATAGTGAAGGACAGGGAAGCCTAGTGTGCTGCAGTCCATGAGGTTGCATAGAGTCGTACATGACTAAGCAACTGAACAACACAGGCCTATGAAATGCAAGTAGACCAGTGTTGTGGGGAGAGCTGGGGAGACATGGACCTGGGGGAAGCCTTGTAAACAGGCTTATGAGAAATTCAGCTCCTCCATGATCAACCAAACTCCCTTGTGTGTTCTCAAAGGTTAAACCATCAACTCCTGGAGATCCTCACCTGGCTACTCCCTGGACAAGCCATGCCTTTTGTGGCCACTTTTGTGTAAAGCCTTATGGTGGCTTTCAGTTGGGCAGCCACTGCCCCTCCTTCCTTGCTGCTGCCCACTAACAGCTGAGCTCTCCCTTTCTTCCTACCTTCCTATGTGAGGTTACCTGAAGGGCGACTTCTGATTTTAAATCTGTGAGGGTTCAGAGGACTGGCAAACCTGGCTGACTGTCCTGGGTGGACTGCTCAGAGTGACTTGCAGTGACAGCCTGAGGAGACCCTGGAAATGGACCTGCCGCTGCCATGTTTGCAGTCAGTCATTCACTCACTGTGATTAAGGGAAAGGGCCCTTGGTCTTACTTTATTCTTTGCTGACTAGAATTTGTCCTTTCAACAATCTTTACTATGCTTTTTTAATATGATTTTATCTGAATAAATTAAAGGTAGGTGAGAGAGGTGAATATGGATGAGGACATGGGGAGAGGACATGAGAATATGGGGAGAGGACAGCTGTGTATATGACAGATAAAAACAGATCAATTGAAATAAGTCAACCACTAATTCAGCCAGTTTTTCTCAAGGAGGAAAAAATTATCAAAAAATTACAATTACCAGATACAACTTTTAATTCTAATTGGTCAGAAACAATCTTGATTTCTTCTAAGTTGCAATTTTTAAAACTAGTAATAAGACTGAATAGCTTGGGTTATAAGATTTTATCCACCTAAAAAAGGATGCCTTCTAGAAGGCTTTATTGTTCACAAGTATCAAAGTATTTTTATACAGTTTCAGTGATTATCACACAAGCCCTCAGTAGATAAGGGTCCTCTAAGTTTGAAAGTTAATCCCAACATACAGAAGGAAATACAAGGCAAGTATTTACAAAGCCCACAGGACACACAAGACTCAGAACCCAGGTCTTTGTCAAAAGCCGGATACCCACCCCCACTCCAAGAAAACATTTAAATAATGACTGAAATAACTTATGCACATCAGTAAATTCGTGTACAGTTTTAAAGCTTTTTGAATTCAAAATACTTTCATTTGAAAATTTTAAAAACTTGTCAGAAACTATTCTAATGGCATCCATAGAAGCTAAAAATGTAACAAGAAACAGGTAAAATTAATTTAAAACATATATTTTATTTAATTCAATATATCTAAAATATTAACATTTGAACATGTAATCAATATTTAAAATGTATTAGTGAAACATTTATTTTTTTTATACCAAGTCTTCAAAATCTGGTTTATATTTTTTACTTTCTTAATTTGGGTGCTAAATTTTCATTCAAAATACTTGCATTTAGACTTCAAAAAATTTACATTTGCCAAAGACAATTCACATACCCAAGTTATTCTGAGCATACTTAAAAGTTTTCCAGTAACTGAGTTGAGAATCTAAATTAATTAAAATTTTTAGAAATCAGAAATTCAGTTGCTAAGTTATGCTGACCACATAATTCAGGTGTTCAAGATTCACAAGTGGTCCAGGGCTGTAGTTCTGGCAGGACTGATTTAACACGCCACAGTTGGCTTAGGGTATTGTTTTTAACAAAATGGTGTTCAGAGCTTATTGTTTTTAATCTCCTCTCAAAACTATATAATTTTCTTGTAGGTTAAAACATCCATTGTTTACATCAACATTTTATACATAATTGAAATTTTTCTTAATTTTATTTTCTTATAAGATGCCATGTCTTCTAGTAAACTTTAAACCATAATCAGATGTTATGGATAAATGCTTCCTGCTGAATTATGAAGAGACTTATAACAATATAAACTCTAAAATGACCCAATCAGTCATGCCTCCTTCAATGCAAACAATACCACACAGTGTTAAACCAACCCCTAAAACCAATAACCAAAAGGAGATCCCACTATATTTTTACAAAGTAGTGACTAAATATTTCTTTAATATTTATTTAAATGGAACAATTCCTGAAAGTAAAAAAGTAAAAATATTTTTATGCTTATGATTTAGTTCTCCAATCTACTTCATGATTTCTTTACAAGTAGCATGTTTAAAAACTAAATGCTATATACGTTTAGGTGTTAGACTGAATGACAACAGCTATAAAATTTCCTTTTTCACTTAAACCCTTGAGATTATAAAATTTCAAGTGTGATCCTTGAAATGACAAAGGCCTTTGATTAAAACAGATGCTCAAATTTTTACCAAAGTGAGTAATCCTGTGCTCAAGCTGCTGCAAAAGTGGAAAAATATTCAAATGCTGGCACTGATGAAGTGTGTATCAAGGTGAGGTGGTGTCACCTCCTATAGCTTGGCCCTCAGGCTTTGGGCTTGGTCCCTCAGCTCCATTTTTGCAACTGCTGAGAGGTGGACTTCGTCAGGCCCATCTGCTATGCGCAAAGTCCGCGCTAGGGCATACCTGCAGAAATATAAAGAGCAGAGTGGCAGGACTTATCACAGAGAAACCTGATGCTTCAACAGTCACTCTGATTCTAAGCTAAGATTATTAGTGTTTGAAATCTCACCAAGGCAGTGATAAGAAAAATTGCACAGGGAAAAACAAGAAAAGTAAGCCCAAGGGCTTGTGAAATGTCATTTTAAAGTCCTCAGTTTGGGAGTGGAAACTTAAATGGCATGGTGCAGTAGGCTTAATCTCATTCTTGGTTTGCTGTAGGTACTAGAAGTTGCTAGGAGACATCTTAAATAAGACACAGGCCATGAAGAATATATAACTTTTATAGAATATAAATATATAGTACTATATATCCAGTTCTTATTAAAAATTGATGGGGGAAAAACTTATGGGGCACCAGATTCTTATCTCCAGTGTGACAGAGAAGGTGGTATCATGTCCGGTGGTGAGTGTACCTTCTTGATCTCAGCACTCACCATGTGGACATGATGTGTTGGCTGGCAGGAACGGCCACAGTCTGGCCACAGCTATGGGTGTGGGTGGTAAAGCGTCCTAAGTGCCTACCTAAGCCTGGCTCTGGGCCCCTCTTTGATTAGCTCTGCGCCTGTCCTCCTTCCTGTTCCAGGGTGAACCCTCATGAGTTATTTACAGTCCAGGAACCCTCAGTGCATCCTCTCAGGGTAAAAGTGAACACAGTTGAGTGAAATGACAATTGTAATCATAAAACTACTTATTGGTACAGAGATCTATTGTAAAGTACCTATATTACCTCAGTTAGCTTTCAATTATGCTTTAAAGTAAGTTAGTTATTTTTATTTTCTTTGTAAATGATATCAAAGCATCTGCAGATATTTAACCCCAACCCCATTAAATGTAGATGGTGATTTAGATGACATGTTAGCTAATGGTAAAGAAACTACCTGCCAATACAGCAGACATAAGACACGTGGGTTGGATCCCCGGGTTGGGAAGATCCCCTGAAGGAGGGCATGGCAATCCACTCTGGTACTCTTGCCTGGAGAATCTCACGGACAGAGGAGCCTGGTGGGCTACCATCCATAGGGTTGCAAAGAGTCGGACACGACTGAAACTACTTAGCACACAGCACTCACATGTTAGCCAGAGGGTAATCCTGGGAAATACCCGCACCTCCACACACTTGGATGGCCCGGTCAATAATTTTGCAGACAGCACGGGGGGCAGCCACTTTAATCATTGCAATCTACATAAACAAGATGTAAGAAGAATGTTCTTAGACAATATGTGTGACAGAATTTTATCTAATCTGTATTTTCTTTATGAAAAGGAACAAGAGAACTTTTCCACAAACACTCACCACTAAAACAGGATCTTTGATGAAAGCCAACAAAGATCCACTAATGCAGCCATATTTCAGTCAACATAGACCTTCTGGAAAGAAATAACTCATCCAAATTACATTCTATTAACTTATTTATAACTTGCCTTGCCTTGTTTGCAGAAGGATTCCAGGCAGGTGATAAATGATACTCATGTTAGGGATCATAAAGAGGTAAAGAGTCTTCGCTAATCATTTTCCCTTAGCAGTGTCATTGATTTTTTTAAAATTAATTTATTTTTTATTGAAGGATAATTGCTTTACAGAATTTTGCTGTTTTCTGTCAAACCTCAACATGAATTAGCCATAGGTATACACATATACCCTCCCTTTTGAACCTCCCTCCCGTCTCCCTCCCCATCCCACCCTTCTAGGGTGATACAGAGCCCCTGTGTGAGTTTCCTGAGCCATACAGCAAATTACCATTGGCTATCTATTTTACACATGGTAATGTAAGTTTCCATGTTACTCTTTCCATACATCTCACCCTCTCCTCCCCTCTCCCCATGTCCATAAGTCTATTCTCTATGTCTGTTTCTCCATTGTTGCCCTGTAAATAAATTCTTCAGTACCATTTTTCTAGATTCTGTATATATGTATTAGAATATGGTATTTATCTTTGTCTTTCTGATATACTCCACTCTATTTAATAGGTTCTAGGTTCATCTACCTCATTAGAACTGACTCAAATGTGTTCCTTTTTATGGCTGAGTAATATTCCACTGTGTATATATACCACAACTTCTTTATCCATTCATCTGTCGATGGACATCTAGGTTGTTTGCATGTTCTAGCTATTGTAAATAGTGCTGTTTTTATTGTAAATAGTGCCATACATAAAGATAAATTCAAAATGGATTAAGACCTAAATGTAAGACCAGAAACTAAAACTCTTAGAGGAAAACATAGCTGTAACACTCGATGACATAAATCAAAGCAAGATCCTCTATGACTCACCTCCTAGAGTAACGGAAATAAAAACAAGTCTACAAGCAATAAATGCTGGAGAGGGTGTGGAGAAAAGGGAACCCTCTTACACTGTTGGTGGGAATGCAAACTAGTATAGCCACTATGGAGAACAGTGTGGAGATTCCTTAAAAAACTGGAAATAGAACTGCCATATGGCCCAGCAATCCCACTCCTGGGCATACACACTGAGGAAACCAGATCTGAAAGAGACACGTGTACCCCAATGTTCATCGCAGCACTGTTTATAATAACCAGGACATGGAAGCAATCTACATGCCCATCAGCAGATGAATGGATAAGAAAGCTGTGGTACATATACACAATGGAATATTACTCAGTCATTAAAAAGAATACATTTGAATCAGTTCTAATGAGATGGATGAAACTGGAGCCCATTATACAGAGTGAAGTAAGTCAGAAAGATAAATACCAATACAGTATCGTAATGCATATATATGGAATTTAGAAAGATGGTAATGATAACCCTATATGCAAGACAGAAAAAGAGACACAGATGCACAGAACAGACTTTTGGACTCTATGGGAGAAGGCGAGGGTGGAATGATCTGAGAGAACAGCATCGAAACATGTATATTATCAAGTGTGAAATAGATCGCCAGTCCAGGTTGGATGCATGAGACAAGTGATCAGGGCTGGTGCACTGGGACGACCCAGAGGGATGGGATGGAGAGGGAGGTGGAATGGGGGTTCAGGATGGGGAACACATGTAAATCCATGGCTGATTCATGTCAGTGTATGGCAAAAACCACTACAATACTGTAAAGTAATTAGCCTCATACTAATAAAAATAAATGGAAAAAAAATAAAATGACTCTGTAAAACAAAACAAACAAAAAAAAGTAAACAAGTGGGACCTGATTAAACTTAAAAGCTTTTGCACAGTAAAGGAAACTATAAGCAAGGTGAAAAGACAACCCTCAGAACAGAAGAAAACAATAGCAAATGAAACAATGGACAAGGGATTAATTTCCAAAATATACAAGCAGATCATACAACTCAATACCAGAAAAACAACCAACCCAATCAAAAAGTGGGAAAAAGATCTAAACAGATATTTCTCCAAAGAAGACATACAGATGACTAACAAACACATGAAAAGATGCTCAATATTGCTCATTATTAGAATAATGCAAATCAAAACTACAATGAGATATCACCTCACACTGGTCAGAATGGCCCTCATCAAAAAGTCTACAAACAATAAATGCTGAAGAGAGTGTGGAAAAAAGGGAACACTCTTGCACTGTCGGTGAGAATGTAAATTGATATAGCCACTATGGAAGATGGTATGGAGATTCTTTAAAAAACTAGGAATAAAACCAGCATATGACCCAGCAATCCCACTCCTAGGCATATACCCTGAGGAAACCAAAACTGAAAGAGATACATGAATCCCACTGTTCATTGCAGCACTGTTTACAATAGCTAGAACATGGAAGTGTCATTGATTTTATAGTTATTAAATAATTATGTTCTTATTCCAAATAAGCCAGAAACACAAGGCGGCAGAGGACAAGAAGGGCTTTCTATGAAACATTTCTATGTGGCAGCATAGTGCTCTGCATTCTACATCAACTTGGTTATTCTTCACTGGAACTCTAGGTCATAGGCAGATTAGTTAGATACTTTGCTCAAGGTCAAGAGGTTGGCAGAAGGTGACATACCAGGTACAATTCCAAGTCTGCATAAAGTCTAGTATTTTCCTATCTTCTGTTGCTGCATCTTGAGAAAGCTGAAGATATTCTTCATCCTGAAAATCATTCCCTAAAGCAGCCCAGTGAAAGGAAAACTGGCAAATGACATACATTTATAATCTTTAAACCAAAATCAAATGGAAGCTTCCAATATTCTGAGTGCCCTCCAGTCACCATGAAACCTGGAATGCCCAAAGTGTGGGAGAAACGTATGACTTGGCAGATGGTGGTCCAAAGGCCCTCACCTCTTTCTTAGTACCAGCGCTGCCCAGAGTATCAATGCTGAGGGCAGTTTTCAAGGTCAACAAGCGGATCTCCTCAATGGCAATGCGGCTTTCAGCAATCCAGTGAGCTATCACCTCCTGGAGGGGAACAAAGGACAGCAGAAGAGGGAGGAGATAAGCTGAGGTGTCTGAGGTCCACATATAACACATGAAAACATCCTATTCTATATATTAATATTTTTAAATGGAAGACTTAGTTTGATATAACCATCTAGCCATATACATAGTATATAGTATGGCTGCAGGTAACATTGAAGATTTTAGAAAAAAAAATTATTTGCTCATAAAAATAATTTATTTTGGATATTCTGGTGTCTAAAGTGAAGACAGCCAAACTGAGCAGTTGTCTGGTTGCCAAGATTCTCCATACTGGCTATTTTGTATGCTAACTGCATAGTCCCACTGAACTTGTTAAGTGTAAGGTGGTGGATCTGCTTATAGACAGTCTACATAATTCCCAAGACAATTTCAGTGTGAGAATGGTCCAGCAGTCCTTCCTTGTATTGTTACTATTATTTATTTAGTAAACATGAACTTTTTCTTTGGTGAAAAGTTCTATGAATTGTAACACATTCAAAGGCTGGTATAACCACAATCAAGATATAAAACAGTTTCTTCCCCTCAAAACTCCCTCATGCTGCCCTTTAATAGCCCTACCTCTAACCTGTAGAAACCACTGAATGGTTCTCAGTTATTATGTTGTTGTTGTTGAGTTGTGTCCAACTCTTTGCGATCCCATGGAATGCAGCATGCAGTCCATTGAGTTCTCATGTCCATTGAACTAATGATGCCATCCAATAATCTCATCCTCTGTCACCCCCTTCTCCTCCTGCTCTCAATCTTTCCCAGCATCAGGGTCTTTTCTAATGAGTCAGCTCTTCACATCAGGTGGCCAAAGTATTGGAGCTTCAGCTTCAGCGTCAGTCCTTCCAATGAATTTTCAGGGTTGACTTCCTTTAGGATTGACTGGTTTGATTTCCTTGCAGTCCAAGGGACTCAAGAGTCTTCTCCAGCACCACAGTTCAAAAGCATCAATTCTTCAGCTCTCAGCCTTCTTTATGGTCCAACTCTCACATCCGTACATGACTACAGGAAAAACCATAGCTTTTGATTATATTGACCTTTGTCGGCAAGTGATGTCTCTGCTTTTTAGTATGCTGTCTAGGTTTGTCAGTTATTATACTATTGCCTTTTTCCAAAGGTCATATAAATGGGATTCTTTGCCATGTGTTCTTTAGAGGGCAGCTTCCTTCCTTCACTCAGCATTATTCATTTGAATTTCATCCAAATTGTTTTGTTTATCAATTGTCCATTCCTTTTTTATCAGTGAGTGGTATTCCACTGTAGGGATGTACCACAATTTGTTTATCCATTCAACTGTTGAAGGACATTTGGGCTGTTTTCAATTTTTGGTGATTATTAAAGAGCTTCTGTAAATATCTGTATATGAGTTTTTGTGTGAACATACCTTTTCATTTTTAAAAGTAAATACCAGGAGTGGAGTTGTTAGGTCATGTGGTAAATACTTATAAACTGTCAACATTTTCCAGAGTGACTATGCCACTTTACATTCCCACCAGCAGTATATGAGATTTCCAGTTATCAGCACTAGGTATAGTGAGTATTTTTAAGTTTTAGCCATTTTCACAATGTGCAGAGATATCTCATGGTGGTTTTAATTTGTATTTCCCCATTTGCTGATGTGTTTGTTTGCCATCTATACATTCTGTATTTCTCTGTATTTATTTAGGCTTCTTTCATTACTTTTATAATTTTTAGCATATAGATAGCATACATATTTTGTTATATGTGTACCTATTTCCTTTCGTAGTCTATTGTAAAATGGTGTTTAAAAAATTTCAGCTTCCAGATGTTCACTGCTAGCTAGTGGTAAAGAACCCACCTGCCAATGCAGGAGCTACAGGAGATGTGGATTCAATCCCTGGGTCGGGAAGATCTCCTGGAGGAGGGCAATGGCAATCCACTCCAGTATTCTTAACTATGGACAGAGGAGTCTGGTGGGTTACAGTCTATAGTGTCGTAAAGAGTTAGACATGACTGAAGTGACTTAGCATGCAGTATGTCGAAATAAAATTAATTTTACATGTTGATATAATTCTGAGACTTTGCTAAACTCACTTATTTTTAGTTCTAGGAGGTATTGTTGTTTTGTTTGGTAGATTCCTAAGGATATACACAATCATGTTGTCTGCAAAGAGGCACAGTTTTATTTATTTTTTCCCCCAACTAGGCACTTTCTTTTTCTTGTCTCACTGCAATGGCTAAGACTTCCTCTATGATGATAAAGAGCAATGGTGAGAGTAAACATCCTTTGTTATCAATTTTGGGAAGGAAAACACTCAGTCTTTCATTATTAAGTATGACATTAGCTATAGAATTTTTAGATGGTCTGAATCAGGTTAAATAAATTCCTTTCTATCTCTAGTATATCATGAATAGATGCTGATATTTTGTCAATTGCCTTTTTGCATCAGTTAATATGATCATATGGTTTTTCTTTTTAGGCAGTTAAATGGTAGATTACAATGAATAATTTTCTTAATGACTGGCATATGAATATGAATCAGCCTTGTATTCCAGGGATAAACATCACTTGGTTGTTCTTTTTATATACTGCTGGATTACTCTAGATTTTTGCATCTATAGTGGTCTGTAGGTTGTTGTTTGGTAATTTTGGTCTCATAAATGAGCTGGAATGTGCTTCCTCTTCTTCATTTTCCTGGAAGAGATTTTTTTGTGCCGAATTGGTGTTATTTCTTCTTTAGTTGTTCATCAGAATTCACCACTGACACCATTTGGGCCTGAAGATTTCTTTTTTCAAGATATATTAAATTGTGAATTCAACTTCTTTAATAGAAGCATTTAGGGTTATCAATTTCATATTCTTTCAACAATGCAAGAGACGACTCTACATGTGGACATCACCAGATGGTCAATACCGAAGTCAGATTGATTATATTCTTTACAGTTGAAGAAGGAGAAGCTCTAAACAATGAGCAAAAACAAGACCAGGAGCTGACTGTAGCTCAGATCATGAACTCCTTATTGTACAATTCAGACAAATTGAAGAAAGTAGGGAAAACCACTAGGCCATTCAGCTATGATCTAAATCAAATCCCTTATGATTATACACTGGAAGTGGCAAACAGATTCAAGGGATTAGACCTGATAGACAGAGTGCCTGAAAAACTATGGACAGAAGTTCATAACACTGTATAGGAGGCAATGTTCAAAACCACCCCCAAGAAAAAGAAATGCAAAAAACAAAATGGTTGTCTGAAGAGGCCTTACAAATAGCTGAGAAAAGGAGAGATATGAAAGGCAAAGGAGAAAAGGAAAGATATATCCATCTGAATGCAGAGTTCCAAAAGATAAGAAAGCCTTCCCAAGTGAACAATGCAAAGAAATAGAGGAAAACAATAGAATAGGAAAGATTAGAGATCTCTTCATGAAAATTAGAGATACTAAGGGAACATTTCATGCAATGATGGGCACAATAAAGGAGAGAAACAGTATGGACCTAAGAGAAGCAGAAGATATAAAGAAGAGGTGGCAAGAATACACAGAACTATATAAAAAGATCTTCATGACCCAGATAACCATGATGGTGTGATCTGTCACCTAGAGCTAGACATCTTGGAGTGTGAAGTTGAGTGGGCCTTAGGAAGCATCACTATGAACAAAGCTAGTGGAGGTGATGGAATTCCATTTGAGCTATTTCAAATCCTAAAAGATGATGCTGTGAAAGTGCTGCACTCAATATGCCAGCAAATTTGGAAAACTCAGCAGTGGTCACAGGACGGAAAAAGGTCAGTTTTCATTCCAATCCCAAAGAAAGGCAATGCCAAAGAATGTTCAAACTGCTACACAATTGCACTCATCTCACATGCTAGCCAAGTAATGCTCAAAATTCTCCAAGCTATTCTTCAACAGTACATGAACCAAGAACTTCTAAATATTTAAGCTGGATTTAGAAAAGGCAGAGGAACCAGAGATCTAATTGCCAACATCTAACTGCCAACAGAATAAGTAAGACAATTCAAGAAAAACATCTACTTCTGCTTTAGGAACTAAAGACCCCCTTGAGGTGAAACAGATCACCAGCCCAGGTTGGATGCATGAGACAAGTGCTCAGGGCTGGTGCACTGGGAAGACCCAGAGGGATGGGATGGGGAGGAAGGTGGGAGAGGGGAATGGGATGGGGAACACATGTAAATCCATGGCTGATTCATGTCAATGTATGGCAAAAACCACTACAATACTGTAAAGTAATTAGTCTCCAACTAATAAAAATAAATGAAAAAAAAAAAAAGAGCCCCTTGATAAAGGTGAAAGAGGAGACTGAAAAAGCCAGCTTAAAACTCAACATTCAAAAAACTAAGATCATGGCATCTGGTCTCATCAATTCATAGCAAATAGAAGGGGAAAAAGTGGAAACAGTGACAGATTTTATTTTCCTGGGCTTCAAAATAACTGTGGATGGTGACTGCAGTCATGAAATTAAAAGACGCTAGGTCTCTGGAAGAAAAGCTATGACAAATCTAGACAGCATATTAAAAAGCAGAGATGTCACTTGGCTGACAAATATCCATACAGTCAAAGCTATGGTTTTTCCAGAAGTCATATAAAGATGTGAGAGTTGGACCATAAAGAAGGCTGAACGCTAAAGAATTCATGCCTTCAAATTGTACTGGAGAAGATTCCTGAGAATCCCTTGGGCAGCAAGGAGATCAAACCAGTCAATCCTAAAGGTAATCAATCCTGAATATTCATTGGAAGGACTGATGCTGAAGCTCCAATACTCTGGCCACCTGATGGGAAGAGTCAACACATTGGAAAAGACCTTGATGCTGAGAAATACTGAGGGCAGGAGGAGATGGGGGCGACATGGGATGTAATAGTTAGATGGTATCACTGAGTCAGTGGACATGAGTTTGAGGAAACGCCAGGAGATAGTGAAAGAAAGGGAAGCCTGGCATGATGCAGTGCACAGTGTCGCAAAGAATCAGACATGACTTAGCAACTGAACAACAACAACATGTTTGCTCCAGTACATTGCTTCAGTGGTGGATATTTTGATCAGTTTCCCTATCACAGTAATGTTCAACATGGTAGCCAATAATCACATTCAATGTGAAATATGTTTAGTCTGAAACAAGATGTATTATACATGTGTGAAATATACATCTAATTTAGAAGAATCGGTTTTTAAAAGAATGTAAAATACCCACTACTAATATTTTTATATTGATTTCATGTCGAAATGATAACATTTCAGATGTATTGGATTAAATAAAATGAATTATTAAAATCAATTTCATCTATTTCTCTTTACTTTTAAAAAATGTAGCTACTAGAATATTTTAAATTACATTTCTGGCTTACAATACATATATTTCTGTTGGATGGCACTGTCCTAGAGGTTGAAACCAAGCTCTGAATTAACAATGTCAAATAAAACTCCAGCAGTCAGTGTCTTTTTTTAATGGCTATCAAACTAGGTAATAACAGACTGGTTCCAAAATGAGAAAGGAATATGTCAAGGCTGTATACTGTCACCCTACTTATTTAACTGGTATGCAGAGTACATCATGCGAAATGCCAGAATTGATGATGCTTTTGAAAAGAATTGATGCTTTTGAACTGTGGTGTTGGAGAAGACTCTTGAGAGCCCCTTGGACTGCAAGGAGATCCAACCAGTCAATCCTCAAGGAAATCAATCCTGAATATTCATTGGAAGGACTGATGCAGAAGCTGAAACTCCAATACTTTGGCCACCTGATGTGAAGAACTGACTCATTGGAAAAGACCCTGATGCTGGGAAAGACTGAAGGCAGGAAGATAAGGGGATGAGGTTGAGATGGTTGGATGGCATCACCGACTGGATGGGCATGAGTTTGAGCAAGCTTTGGGAGTTGGTGATTGACAGGGAAGCCTGGTGTGCTACAGTCCATGGGGTTACAAAGAGTCGGACATGACTGAGTGACTGAACTGAACTGAACTGATCAAACTAGGTGATTATAACTTCATGAACAAACCACCATATGCATTTACTTCGTAGCTTTATAATAAAGGAAAGTGGTCTTAGGTGGGTCTCTACAGACCCTAGATTTTCTAAAAAGAATTAAGTGGGTGCTCTAAGAAGGTGCCAGACTTATTTACTAGAAGAGAACTTTGATAAAGAACTTTTCACTTTAGTGCCTGGAATAAAGTAGAAGGCAGCTGGAAAGGATTTCCAAATTCAGAGAAGTGGAATGTTACTTTCACAAATTAAAAAAGGAAAAAAACGCTAGCCCAGATTTTTATTTGACCTGTTTACACATCTCTCTAGCTCTTGCCAGATCATTTCCTTTATGCCAAATGCAAGAGGTTTTCATAGAAGGGAGGCCTATTTTTGAAAAGCCCAGGCTTGTTATGCTTGCTACATTAAGTTTAAAAAGTGGAAAAGAAATTTCTCTTTAGCACAGTATTAAAACATCTGTCATGAAAGCAGCACTTAAGGAGAGTGCTTTTGTGTGTTCAAGATGTCTGTAGGTTAACCTTTCTGTTCTTCCTTGCACCCTGCTCAGGGTTTGGGTGGCAATTTTGAGAAGAGAAATGTGCATGAAGTGCCATTTGATGCCATGAACAACTCTTCGGCTCCTACTCCAGCAGCAATGTGGAGTTGTATTTATAGCCTCAAACTTTGCATCATTTTGCCTTCTACAGTGTCCATCCAACAGCTGAACACTTGCCTCACTGTTTACTAAAAGGGTTCTTCTACAAATTATTCCCAGGTATGTGCCATAAAGCAGGCTATATTTTTCCATAAGAACGATGTTATAACTAAGTCATAGATTTGCTAAATGATATTTCACAAAAAAGAAAGCGTGGCCTATAAGAATTCATGGTAAAAAATACACTGTAAAATTTTTATAAGGTTGTCACAACTGAACTTTATAACTCCTTGTTAAAGTACAGTTGAGACAATCTTATAAAATGTACTAAAATACACATGTCCAGCAAACATGGATACAATTTACCACTACAAGTTTGACTTAACAGTATGTGTTAGCAATCTTAAGTATTAAATATTTAATAATAATTTTTGTCACCTTCTTAGAAGGGCTTTTAGGGGGATGATTTAGCTATCTCATTGCTCTTAAGAACATTTCAGCTCCTTTGAATATTTCTTGTAAGCAAGGAAGTCTGATATGGTAGTATCTTTTCCCTCTTGATAAATATTTTCAAATTTGGATTATAGTGCTGGATGTAAGTATTGTTTTTTGTAAATAGGCTCAGTAGTACTTAACTTAGAGATGAAAATTCAAAATATCATGAACACCCCAGCTAATGCTGGTCCCATTTCTACTTGCATTTCTCCAGTGACAGGGAGCTCACTTCTTTATAAAGCAGTCGTTTCCATTTTTGGATCTCTTTCTTTCACTGAGTTTTGGGCTATTTTTCTATATCTCTCCATTTATCTGTCTTAATTCCTCCACAGAGCCAAAGAAAGGCTTCCTTCTTCCTTAAAACAGCACTCTCATGTCCACAGAGAGGGCTACTGTACGAAGTTCTCTAGAGAACGAGAACCTGAGAAAGTTGAACAAATTATTGAGACTTTGTGTGCTGAGGTGTTGAAGCACTTAAGGAATTATTAAATCTTGCACAAAGATAACTACCTCTCGTCAGCCTATATATATATATATATATATATATATATAGCTATATATATATATACACTATATATATATACATACATATACTATACTATATATATATACATATACTATATATATACACACTCATATAGCTGGAATCTTAGGATTTTTCATTAATTTTTATTGGAATATACTTGCTTTACAATGCTGTGTTAGTTTCTCTTGTACCAAAGTGAATCAGCTGTATGTGTACATGTATCCCCTCTTTTTTGGGTTTCCTTCCTATTTAGGTCACCACAGAGGACTGAGTCCCTTGTGCTACACAGACGGTTCTCATTAGTTAACTGTTTCATACACAGTAGTGTATATATGTCAACCCCAACCCTCCTATTCATCCTGCCCTGCTCCCCCTTGGTATCCATGTTTGTGCTCTACCTCTGTGTCTCCATTTCTGCTTTGCAAATAAGTTCACCTGTATCATTTTCTAATTTTACATATAAGTGGAGTCATATGTGGAATATTATATGATATTTGTTTTTCTCTTTCTGACTTAACTCTGTATGACAGTCTCTAGGTCCATCCACATCATCAGACTACATTTAAATACAGACTACAAATAAATATATTTTGTGGAAAAGAATCACTTTGTTTATGCAGAGGAAATCTCTTTCTGGCCAAATAATGTTATTTTGGTTCAAGGTTAGTATACTGCATTGGGCTACAATAAATTCAAATAAGTAATTATTCTTACATGTGAATAAAGTTTCTTCTTAAAGGCCACCCTTTGGTTTGCTCGTTCACACATGATCTGTAAAGCACGTTCAGCCAAACCTATTGTTCTCATACAGTGGTGGATTCTGCCAGGTCCAAGCCGGCCTTGGGCAATTTCAAATCCCCTGCCTTCACCTGTGAGAAAGGAAGGAGAACATGACCACAGCCTATTTCTTATGTTATTTACACAGATCCTGAGAAAATAATGAACTATCCTCAATAAAAATGGCATTCTGGTAGGAAGAAAGTAAGTTCTGTAATAAGGTTCACTATACATTTATGGAACTTTGATTTCTAATACATAGAAATGTAAACCACCATCATTAAAAACTTGGATCAGATTCAAGAACTGTCTCTTGAGTACCTACTCTGCATAAGTTATTTTGTTAGTGCTGCAATGGTTACCAAGGTAGATAAGACACAGTCCTGAGTTTAGAAATTAGAAGAGGGGCAAGGATGCTAGGGATAAAGGATATGGAGAAGGACAAGAAAGGCATAGGAGGGAAAGGTGTCTGTTCATCATGGTAACCTGAGGGCCTGGCAGGATCAGGGGCTTATTGAATCGATGAAATGAGGAATACAAGAACCTTCTTGAAAGAGGTGGCATCAGAGATGTTCCCTGAAGGTTGGGTAGGATTCCAACAAGCAAGAGGATGGAGTCATTCGAGGAATACAGTGTTCAGAAACTACTGAGGTTTGATTAAAACAAGTAGAGGCCTGACGATCATGTTTTAGGAAAAAGTATGTTGCTCCGAATTGTGTAATTTTTGTATTTAGCTATGTTTTCAATTGATGTGACATCACATCAAATACTTAAATAAAACCTTATTACTGTTATTATTACCAAAGGAAATAATTTTCCCTTATAAGTGGAGTAAACAAGAAGGAAAGTATCTAAATTATGGTAGATTTCACATCTTTTTCAGATTTAGACCTGAAAATATTTTTTAAAAATTACTAGAGAATCATTTGTCCAATTTATCTCACCTAGTATTAAATTGGTGGCAGGAACTCGCACTTGATTAAAATGGATCTCAAAATGTCCTCCATGTAAATTATCTGTAAAATAGAGAATAAGATTTTAGAAAACAAAATGAGGTGACAAAAATAGAGTCAGATAATTAATCTACTGAAACATAATTCTCAAAGACAGTGGAATTTAAGGCCTCATATGTCAGACATTTCTAGGTAGACCTGAGTCCTGAACCCCCAGTAATGTACAGCCCAAAACCTTATCACTGCATAAGAAACTTTAGGAGATTTTAGATATCATTTCACCCAGAGGTTTCTGAATGTATTTTCTGAGGTTGTAGAGCTTTGAAAAAGAAGATGGCTCCATAGCTCAAATCAGATCATCTGATTATTGTTTTATTATTGCTTCTTTAAATTTTTTTTTAATTTTCCATTTTTTTTCCCATTTATTTTTATTTGTTGGAGGCTTCTTTGCTTCTTTAAAATTTTTAATATACAGGCTTCTGAAGAAAATTTGCTTGGGGAAAAAAAAAGGTTCCAGTGGTTGAAAATTTGCAAGTGAATTATGTAAGTCTTATTTTATCACTGTGGAAACCAATGCCTGAAGGTGTGAAGAATCTGCTCAAAGGGACAGGGCAGGTTTAGCATTAGAGACAAAGCCAAGGCTGGACCTGCAAATGTATTTGCTTCCAGTCTAGGCTTGTTTGCCTCTTGAAAATGCTGGCGTGTGACAGAGACTGGGAACACATCCACACTTTGTCTTTACATCATCCTTCCTCCTCGCCAAGTTCTGGAGATAATCTCCAGTTAACTCCACACCCTTTTCCTGTCAGAACAGACATTAATAATCAACTCTGTCCACAGTATTTCTTTTGGCCTTGGTGCAGGGAGTTGGAGAGATGTTGGTGAGATTGTCATACTGAAATCTGAAACATAGGCTCTACAATGGTGGGTATTAATAGCCAAGCAACGAAACATAGGCTCTACAATGGTGGGTATTAATAGCCAAGCAACATTATAAACCCATTTTCATGGTCTTTTAGGCTGTTCTACAACCCAACCACTTAACCTGTGGGTGCATTTTCTAGTTGCAGCCTACAAAAAGGCATCCACCTCTTGAATATTTTCATTAGCCACATTTAACAATAAAGAAAAAGCCAGGGTCACCACAAAACCTAAAGTTCAGTTTTTTATAACATTTATCATTTGCTTTCAGCTACCTAGCTTATTTACATGTCTATATTTATCCTCTGTCTCTGTCCCCCAGCAAGTAAGCTCCACAAGGGCAGAGATCTTAGTTTACTGTGTTCACTATTGTATTCTAAGCACCTGTAACAGTGCTTGTGTGTGTGCGTGCATGTTAAGTCATTTCAGTCATGTCTGACTCTTTGTGACCATATGGACTGTAGCCTGCCAGGCTCCTTTGTCCATGGGATTCTCCAGGTAAGAATACTGGAGTGGGTTGAGCGCTCAAAAAACACTTGCAGGGTGAGAAACCTGAGCAGCAAGGAAACAGTGAACATGAGACTGAGCAAATGTATCCTTGCTTCTTAGAAATTCCACCCAAGGACAGAAGGAAGGAAAAGTTCTGCATTCAAATCAATCAAAACCCTTTGCTTATTAATAACTTTTATAGGTTGATTCAGAAAGTTAAAAATGAATATTACTGTGGGTTACTTAATTTTTCACATCTATTTCATTAACCCTTCCTCCTGGATGATGAAAAGAAGACTGGCAGACAGAGTTGCTGTGCCTTAAATACCAGTTTGCCCTTTCCCCAAAGCAGACAAAACGTGGTAGAACACTGCACCACCTCTCTCTTCATCTGTTCCATTCTGAACTCCACTGGTAATTTATGCTAAGGGTCAAAGGATTTCTAAGAATCCATCTCATGCACTAAAATGTTATGTGCAAATACACAGTGCAAATACACAGACAAGCTGATTGAATATTTACCCAGGTAGCCAAAAACTGTCAAGGGCCTTATTATTTCTACTCCAGGTGTGTTGATGGGAACAAGAATCATGCTGTGTTGTTTGTGTCTGGTCAAAAGAAAAGTAGATGTTAGGAAGTTTGCTAAGTGGAAAAATAAAACAGATGTTAGGTGGAGACTCAACTGTCATCTTTTCATTGTTGCTATCATGTAATCATGTAAGTAACAATGTCTGGAATAGGAACTGTGTAAAAATCATTACATTAAGTACATTTAGATGCAGGCTGTAATCTGGAAAAACAATGATTTGGAAATATGTGAAAGTTATTTAATTGAGGCTTCTCCTTGCTTAGAATGGTAACTGGGAACTGACATTTAATATATTAAACATTGCAAGATTATTGCCTTGGATCTAAATATCTAATCACTTAATTACTTACAGACAGTTTTGAAAAATTTTATATATCTTATAATTGGATCCAAACAGCTTTGAGAATTCAACAACACTTTTTATTTTATTTTTTTTTCAACACTTTTTAAAACAGGAAATTTCACAGTGAAGAATGTATACCAACACTTCCTAAAATGTTTTCTAAATATTTCTTTAGCAAAATAATTGTGAAACAACAGATATATGACATTTAATATCATAATATACTTTCTATTATTATAATTTATGAGCCTACATAGTGAATTTTAAGTAAATTAAGTGAGTACAAAAAAAGACTGACTCTTATTCCTCGTAGATTTCTCAATCACTATTGTTTTATTACCTGAGTTCAGACTTATTGTTAATTCTTCCCATAACAATTGCAATTTTGCACTTTGGATTCCCAGCTCCTAAAACCAGAGAGACAATGAAAAGAGTACATCATAAAAAGAAATTTTTAGTCTGATATTTCACACTAGAAGTTCTAATCTTTCTAAGTTTACCTCTGGCAAAACAAACACACACACAGGAAGAAAGCCCTTGATCATTAAAAAAAGAAATGCTTATGTACAAAACTGTATATCACTCAAGAAAATTGACTAACTAAGGCCAAGAATGGACTTCTTCAATGAGAACTGCTGCATGAAAATAACCAGAAGTCAAAGAAGCCATGAAAGAACTGCAGCCCTTAAGACAAAATGATGGCTCTCCCATTCATACCATTTCAAACATCAGCATGCTAGAAAGATTATGAACTTCTTCTAGCAAAATATGCTAGCTGAGATCTCATATTCTCTGACCTATGGACAAGAGTACCAAAACTCACGATATTTGCTCCTCAGCCAGTGACTGAGAAAGACTTAATTTCCCCAGCCATGGAGTAGGATGAGGGTGAGTCTGTTTCAATTAAACAAACTGAAAAGCATTAATCCATCTACAAACAATTGGAAATTTGAATACTTACTGGATATGTAACAATATTAAGTAATTTTAGGTGTGCTAATGACATTGTGGTTACATTTTAAAAAGAGCTCTTATTGAGATGCACACTGAAATATTCGTGAGAGACATAATGTGATATCTGGGACTTATTTCAAAATAATATGGGGAGAGGACGAAATGGGAATAGGGATGAAGCAAGGTTGATGCCCTGAAAGTGAATCATGTTTTCCTGCTTCTTCATTTAATGAATAATTTTCCATTGTGTTCTGGACATAATGAATTCCTTTGTTTTGAAGACTCTGGATTCTGTTCTCTCTCTCTGAAGACCATTAATGTTATTGTTTTAAGAGGCAATTAACTTAGGTAGAGTCAAACTGCAGAGTCTGTCTCAGTTAAGGTGAATGAGAGGCCACATTTCACTTTAGCTCTTATTTAGCTGCAAGCTGCTTTGAGCCTGCCTTGTGAATCACTTTGATTCATGAGTAAGACAGAGGCTTGGACAAACCTTACACAGGAAACAGAGCTCTCTTTCTCCAGTTTTTTCCTTTCCTGGAGTCTCACCCTATTCTATCATTTTTCTGGGAGCAATGGCTGGCTGCCTTACTATTCTCTAGTTCCTTAGGACACAAAGACCTACGTTATCTAGAGAAGCTTCAGCATTCTCACACCATTGAGTCCTTAGGCCAAATTCTTAAAATGAGACCTCGGGCCCGTCTCATCCTCTAAAGCCTGACTCTGCTACAAAATCAGCCTGTCTTTGGTCACTCTACAGACTCTTCAGGTAGTTTTTTTTGGTAGTTTTATAGTTGTTATCTGTGAGAAGGTCAATCTTAGGTGTTAATCCACCACACCAGAAATGGAATTCCCCTAGGGTTTTTAAAACTTTGCCAAAACCAGGTTTTCACTTATCTCATGTGATGGTTTCTTAACTCAGGTACCTATCATTAATGCCAGTTGAAGTTTTAGAAATGCAATGATCACCCCAAAATTTGATCACATAAGAAGCAGAATCAGGAATCTTAGAAGCTTAAAAAATTTTAAATCAATAAAATCAAGAGCTTACCATTCTATTCCCCTCAATTATCCTATATTGTGAATTATACACGTAAAGTAAAATACGGTTAAGGTTAAAACACAATTGTCTTAAAACCAAAGCTCTAATTTGGGTTTCTTTAAATTTAATGGAAACTATTTTTTTTTTTCAATCAGTTCTGAAAAGACTCTTTATAAGAAGGATGTATCAGCTGCTACATCTTCCAGATTTTAGTGAAAAAAAGATTTCCCCACTCACATATCTCAAAATTAAGTTTTAAAAATCTCAGATGTTATACTCTTGATGTTGAGTCCACTTGACTATCCTCATTTATTGAACCATGTTTCACTTTCCAAATTGTGTTTAGTTATTTTTACAAAAGTGTGTCCTTCTGATTTTTACAGGTGCTAATACAAAGAAAATGAATTCCACGATTCTGAGGATCAACCCAAAAAACATTAGGATGATTTAAAGAATAGATGATAAAACTTAAATTTCAATGTGGATATTAACGGAAATTCCTTATCTGAAAACGCTGAGCAGAGGGAATTTTTTTTACCCTTGATTGACTCTGGTTCTGCAATGATATGCAATCATGCTTTGATTTTTAGCTAGAAATTATAGAGAAAAGAATCCTTTCCAGAAAGGCTTATTTTTAATTTTTCAACTGAATATTTTTCCACTTGCAATTTTTTAGGTTTTACTTGTAGGAAGACTTGAGGCTCTAAGAATGAAGAGCCAGGCCACTTGCCCCATATAAACACATTGTCTCCTTGGTGGGTGTACATCTAAAAATCAGATTAGGACATAATGGTGTGACTTGGGGTTTATTTCATTAGAGATCTTTTCTTTGTCCACTTTATCCTGGTAATCAAAACCATTCTGGGTACATCTTTTAAGGATTCATGTATCTTAATCCTTCAAAAGTAAAATCTTCTCTATAATTCCCTTAAACCCTAACTGAAAGCATGCCTTTTCTAATTCCATAATTTTTCTCTACTATTTCCCAATAGCATTTCTTGTCCTGCTCTTTTTATCATGAAAAATTGTTGCCACAACTTTATTTAAGTACCCAACAGATTTCAGATATCATGTAAATTTTGATGAAACTCAAGAAACTAGGAAAATAATTCTTCAATTCTGCTTTGCCCAATCTAATATGGAAAACAATTCAGATTCTAAAAAAGTGAAACTTCTAAATTGGCTCTCCTTTTTGGGGTCATTAAATAGAGGAAGTAAGGATGAATACATAAGCTATAAATTTTGAACTATTTTGATTTAACCTTGATGTTTCAGAAAATGGGAAAACCCTCTCACAAATATATCATCTCATCTTAGCTACAAGCATAATTTGGCAGGTGCAGCTGCTGAAATGTCCTTCTTCTAAAGAGTTTTTGTTCTCATGTTATTTTACTTAATGGACAGGATACCAAATGTCACAAATTAAATATATTAAAGGAAATCTGAATAGATCAGAAAGCATTTAAATATTTATCTGCTATGTCACAGGCCTTCGTGAGTGAAAACAAATGGCACAGATAAAATAATTTTGTTTTTAATCCAGACTGTGTGGTATTTCAAGACTGTTGAAGTGCCAGGATTAAGTCAGGCTGAAAGGGACATTTTGCTGATATTTGCTGATGAGTTTTAATTTTACACGTTCTTACAACCACATGACTATCAAATAAAATCATTCTATAACACAAGGAAATATGACAGGTGGAGAAAAACATAACTGTTGAGTATGGATATGGCCTGCAACCATAAGGAAAGTGATATAAACAATAATATAATATGAAGTACAATTAGTCATTTACAAAGCATCAAGGTTATTTTTACCAATATTGAACCTCTGATGTGAAATATATAAACTTCATTTGGTCTTAGCATTAATACTAATGAAGAGTGAAAGAGTGAGTCACTCAGTCGTATTTGACTCTGTGCACCCGTGGATCATAGCCCACCAGGCTCCTCTGTCCATGGAATTCTCCAGGGAGGAATACTGGAGTGGGTAGCCATTCCCTTCTTCAGGGAATGGAATTGCAGGGAATGGAATTCTTCAGGGAATTGCAGGCAGATTTTAAAAACAATTATGTGTTAACTAACATTTTACAATGAAATTTCCACTTGTTAAAAAAAAATGTTTATCATACAGTTAAGAAAAAAAAGAAAATCTCATGTGTTCCCTTGGATTATATGTGCTATTGTTAATAGGAGAAACAACCTTTGAAATTCACTTATTCTTCCTCTAGGAAGGTTTACATCTAAAAAGTATTCTATAAATGTTACATGCTGTCACTACTACAAAATATAGTTGAATCAAAATCAGGTCCAAATAGATCAGAATTGAAATTTTAAAAAAGATTAAATAATCAAGACATTAAAAAAAAAACTAGAAGAAAAAACAATTGAGTATCTATGAAATTTCTGAATGGAAAAGAAATTTTAAACCTCAAAAATAATAAACGTGGGAATTCCCTTGTGCTTCAGTGGCTAGGAATCCATGCTCTCACTGCCAACGGCCCAGGTTCAATCCTTGTGTGTGGCCAAAAAGAAAAAATAAATTAAAAGAGAAAGACTGATTGGCTGATCTGTATTAAACTATTGTAAGAAACAGGCTTCCCTGGTGGTTCACCAGTAAAGAAATCTTCCTGCCAATGCAGAAGACACAAGTTCGATCCCTGGGTCAGGAAGATCACCTGGAGGAGGAAATGGCAACCCACTCCATGGACAGAAGAGTCTGGTGGACTACAGTTCATGGGGCCACAAATAGTCAGACACGATTTAGCAACTAAACAATAACAACAAAGAAACAAAACTAGAGCAAACAAACAAAAAACCCAACAATTTAGGAAAAATATCTCACATACAGCTGGCAAGGGAAGGGGAATGGTACTGAACTGGTACTGAATTACAAGTTTTTTAAGACAGCAAAATGGTAGTGGAACAAGACATTCAACTGGCAATGTTCTAGGGAAATAGATATTTTCATACATTATTGGTGAGAGTACAAAGTAATACCATCCCTATGAAGTACAATTTGGCAACATCCACCAAAATTACAGATTCACTTAGTCTTTAATCCACCTATTCAGCTTTTGAGATTTATCCTACAGATACAGCTGCTCCTGAAATTCCTAGGTGTTGCTAGTGGTAAAAAAACACGCCTGCCAATGCAGGAGATATAAGAGATGGAGGTTCGATCCCTGGGTCGGGAAGATCCCATGGAGAAGAGCATGACAGCCCACTCCAGTATTCTTGCCTGGAGAGTTGCATGGACAGAGGAGCCTGGTGGGCTACAGTTCATAGGGTCACAAAGAGTCAGACATGACTGCAGTGACTTAGCATGCATGAATGAACTGAGAGAAGAAAGAATTGGGCATAAATCAATATCATCAACAGAAGACAATTATATGGATGTGTCCATATAATGGA